TGCCGACTACGATGCCGGCGAAACGTTTGGGAATGTACCGCGTCCACGGTCCTACTTTGGAAATAATTATACATACAATGGACTCAGGACAGGGTACGTTTTTATAAGTCTTCTTACCAATATGACCAAGTTGCGAAAACAAGGTCAAACAACTTCTATACAATGGAAGGAGACTACGACCACAAAAAAGACCACACCATCTTGGTCTTCATACTTTCGTTTATGATATTCTGTTATTTTTGACTGCAGACTTGATGTATTCCCAGATCGCGTCGTTAGTGCGCCCCATCAGTCTTCGCGCAAGGCTAAAACTCGTCAAATCTACCTGCTAGAGTTGCTGAGGCGGCAGATATAAAGTCCACGGTCCAACCCTGGAATTAATTGTGGCTGCAATGCCAGAGGAATTCGGACAAGCGGGACTCGTTGAGGTCGCCCAGTCAACGCGATCAACTTATAAACACGAGGACGAACCTAGGCTAAATAGCGAAAAGGGACTGCGACCAAAAGAGAAACTACAGCATTTTGGCCTTCATATCTTCAGGTAGGCCAGCCTAACCTGACGATCGTGTGTGTTTCGGTGTCTTCTCGTGCAGCTGCTCCATTCGATGCAATTTTATCCTCGTCAGGCAAGTGAGCGACTCATCAGGACTGAGTCCAACCGGTCGGAGGGAAGCAGCGGCCAAGCGGGTCGGCCATTCAGGCTGCCAAAGAGGAGGCTGTGAAGGCAGTGGTTCTCGGTGTGTCGTTATCAAATGCACACAAGGCACGAACACCTGCACATGTGCAGCTTTCTTTGTCGTCCTAATGAGTCTTAGGGTGGCTAGAGCATGATTGTGACTGACTTGACAGATTTGAGGAGTGGGTAACCCGGGCGGGAAGAGGTGGAGGAGCACAGAAGATAGGACAGGATGGTGGGTTGTGGACGTGGGGTGGTGATAGTCGCCGGCTGAGGAGAGCCGACGACTGTCTTAAAGTGCCGAGCCAGAAACTTTGGCAGTCGGAGGGACGCCTCCTGCCCCGGAGACATGCTGAGTGTGAGTAAGTCCCCATCTGCGTATGTATGTGTATGCGTGTCTCCGATTGTCTCAAACCGGGCAAGTCAGCAGCTGGGCCTAAGCGGACCCAGTTTTCAAGTCTGCCTTGCTCATGCCCTTACATAGGACGAACAGACATACATACGTACGTACATACAGATAGAGATACGAATGGACCGACGGATTGGTTTATGTAGTTAAACAATGCGAACTGGCAATAACCATTCCGTGAATGGCGATAAATTAGAGGCAAATTGCCTCGCGCTAGGGCAAGGGAGGCGGTAAGGGGAAATGGCCAATTGGTGGTCGCTATGCTCACGAGACGCTGGAGACCAGAATAAGCAGGCCTGAGGGCCCATGCTAGAAGAATGTGGTACCTACGGGTGTGTGAGGTGGTCGGGGGGGTCTGGGTGGGAGCAATTATGCTCAAAAATGAGCTCCAGATTAGAAAGACGAAAAAGGGAAAAGAAAGAGGAAGAGATTGTGAGACAGAGGAAGAGTTATGAGCAGTTGACGCCAACACTGGTTCAGTTTCGCGTGGCCCGGACGCGCAAGCGTCGAGGAGGCAAGAGGCATCCACACCAACAGCCGAAGTCTTGTTGTTATGGTACCTCCCTACAGAAGCTGTGAACTGGGGGCGTCTTCGGAAACTGGCCGGAAACGAGTCAAGCAAACATTTGAATCTGGTAGAGGCAGTTGATACGAACACATGGAGGCCATACATTTTGCGTAAAAGACAAAGAGAAGTTCCCTGTTCTGCCGTTGGTATAGTACCCTGCCGTTACGATGATACGATAACCCGTGGATTTAATGGGAGGCGCCTAAGCCCAAGTCATGAAGTAAATCTCCTTTAAATGCAGCGAACTAATATCCATGCAGGGACGTTCGGTCTCGACAGTGCAAACCCAGCCTAAGTTGCCCGCCTCGATGGAAACATTTAGATGAAACAAAACTTTTATTCCCCTGTAAAAACAACCTACACTTGGGTTCACAAAATAAGGAGGTTAAAATTCTGGGAATAAATATTGGATTTCGAGGAGTCTCTTTTTTCTAATTGTTGCGCTCGCTCCCATTTCGAATTGAAAAGTGTGGAGAAGAGATTCGAATGACAAACTAAAGGAAGGAAGACGGTAGATTCATAGTAACCAGCTCTTGGTTGGTTTCACGGGAACGTTCTTGTTGACGATGACACTGGAGAAATTTCCTTTAAAGAACACAAGCTAAGCTTTCGTCCATCATAGTATCGACATCAGCAGAGCAGGTCATCATACTTACAACCATGTTCGGGGAAACGAGATAAGAAAATTCACCGGCCTATCTTTAAGTGCTATATATATACACCACACCACACTACATCTAAATAAGCACGGTTATTACTTGCTTTGAATAGGTTCAATGTTGAACCACAACATTTGGGGGTTGGCACACAAGAGACTAGAGAATAGTAAGTTATGGACTTGGTATTTGGGATAAAACAGGATAGACGCTGCGGAGACTGGAGCTATTTGACTGACAGTAGGTTTTACCAGAGATGTGGCCCATGTAGCAATGGCTTGACTATGAGACTTACTCGTAGGCTTTAGCTTTGAATTTGTCACTCAGACGCAGAGGAGGGGTAATAATGCATCGAGTAGCACAGATGGAGTGGCAGAGGTCGAGTGAAATACGTGAACCAGGGAGATATCAGACAGATCTTACGGGGCAAGAGGGAGACTCTGATAAGACCTAGGGAAGGAGGACTTCGTAACAATATTGCAGACTCTGATCAACATTCCCAGCACAAGGATGAAGAGGGGTTAGAACGCCAGTGTGGAGTGTGGAGGGTTTTCATGAATGCCGCTCAAAGGAGCATACCACAATGCATCAAAATAAGCACGGTAAAACATTGTAACAGTGAAATCGTGATATGAGGCTATAAGAAATGTGAATATCCCAGGGCAGAAGGAGACATATCACAACTGCTTGGTACACGATTGGTCAAAGGATCGGCTTAACTTGTCTCTCTGCCGAGTTGTTATGTGGTGCTATAAGTGGCAAGACTGACTGACGATGCCGACGAAACGTCTGAGAATGTACCACGCCCACGGCCCGATTTTGCAAATTAGCATGCATACAATGGACTCTGGACTAGGTGAGTTCCTCCAAGTCTTCCTACCAATATGACCAAGTTGCGAAAACAAGGTCAGACAACCTCTATACAACGAAAGGAGACTGTGTCCACACAAAAGGCCACACCATCCTGGTCTTCATACCTTCGATATAAGTAGAATATGTTCCATTTTCTCAGTATATTGTTTTTTGTCCATAATCACTATCGCTCCTCCTCTATCCGCATGAAAGACTAATTGTTTATTCTTTTCCAGGGTCTTGTGTATCCTGGCAAATCTGTTCCTGTGTATCGGCTCTTGATGTGATAATAGTTTAGTGTATATCATGCGGCGCCTGCGAACAAAAATATATTGGTGAAACAGGACGAAAAATTAGCATACGAATCAAGGAACATCAACGGTTCTGCAGGAAAATGGATATCGAAAGATCAGAATTAGCTGAACACATCGCACAGACTGGACACGAGATCAATTGGACGACAACAGAAAGAAGGGTATCATACGGTGGAAAAAATCTAATGAACAGGAGATTGTAGGAAGGTAGCGTTGGCGATAACTTTGCCTACTGCCTAAGCAAACTCGGGGAAAACAAGAATAGAGCAAGACCAGTAAAAAGGCGACGCCTGGATCTTGGATCTATTGTTAACCGGAGGAAAAGGGATCGCGATGAAGAAAGTGGGGGCAGGGGTTTTCGGTAAAAAATCGAAAACGTCGTCAGTGAGTGATGGCCGTTTCGAATAAACCAGTACAATGGTGGGGGCCTGACAGTCAGGGAGCTGTGCAGACGGATAAGCAAGCCGTCACGGAAATTTGGCGTTATGGCCATAATTTACCAGAATTCCATTTGAGAGGCAGCATTCGCCGAGAGAAAGGCGCGTACATTTCGCTCAGGCTACATGGGTTTAATCAAGGAGACGACCCGTGATTGCAATGCCTGATAACTGCCAGCATGGGAATCATATATATATATGTGGAAGAAAAGTTGGGTTTCGAGGAATCTCTTGTTTTATAATTGTTGAGCTTACTTCCATTTCGAGTGAAAGTGTTGGGTGAAAAGATTCTAAGGTCGGTTCCACCAGAAGACGACGACGGATTCACCTTGACTAGCTGTCGATTGGCTTTACTGGAAGATTAGTGCTGACGCTGTTTCCGAGGTAATCTCCTTCGATTCTGGTTAAAAGGTGCTAAGTTTCGTCGGTCATATGATGAACATCATCAGAGCAAGGTATCATTATCACAACCAAATTCAAGCTAACGAGTAAAGAAAACTCATAGTCACTTCTCTGTACTTTTAGCCCACTCTTTCTCTCTCGCATTGAGACCAAAAACAAAAAAAAGGCTCAGCAACAAAACCAGACGAGTGTCCGACCATGCGCAATCGGAGCGATGGTTATAACATGTATGTTGAAAGGGGGAAATAGGGGTCCTAATTACTTTGAGCGATCACTGCGGGTTTCGTGCATAAGCGAACACAAACAGGCACATACACATACAGAGACAGACGCAGTCACAGCCATCGTAGTCGATATATGACCGTGACTGACCAAATTACTTTATACTTGATCAAAAAGTCCAGATGTAGAGTATATATATGTCTTTTTAGGGACTTGCCGGTGAGTTTTCCTGACTCGTTAGAGCCTAGACGCTCTGCTCGATGAGACGTTTGTGTACGTGCTCCTAGAAATAGCGTTTGGAGTAAAACGCAAACTGGGACTGGAACCGAGTGAAATCGGTAAGCCGGATACATAAGGAATGGTTCTACGGACCATGAGGGAGATCCAGATAGGAGGCCCGAGTCAGATTAACTGGTCGAGAGAGATGGGATCAGGGTGAATAGCAGGTGTTATGGGGCCATACCAGATTTTTCGCAAAAGGGAACACATTTTTACTAGTCGAATGTAAACAAGTCAGAAGTTGTGATATAGCGGGAGTTTGATAAGAGGATAAAGAGTATATAGATGGGCCAGGACAGAAAGAAGAGTGATGGTGTAACCATTTCGGCAGGACGTTGGTCGAGTAATTTACTTCACTTGTCTATTTTACTAGTTCATAGCTTGGTGCGGAGAATAGCATTTCTCACTGATTATGCCGACTACGACGCCGGTTAATTGTTTGATAATGTACCAAGTCAACGGTCTGATGCTGTGAATTACAACAACTACTATGGCAGAGGACTTCTGACAAGGTGCGTTCTACTAAGTCCCTCTTGCAACAAGACCAAGTTGCGATAACGAGGTCAAACCACTTGTATAAATCGAAAGGAAACTGCGACCATACCAGGGGCCACACCATCATGGTATTTACTTTGATTAATTGTCTGCTAAACTGTTATGGTATCTCTCCTTCTGTCCTTTGCTATTCACCTAACCTCTAACCTCGTACCAACACTTCGCTATCACAATTTATTGATTGTTTTATTTAAATGTATTATATTATGCCCCCTTGAGCGGATTTCATGAGACCTCTTCTCACCAGAAGTTGGTTTTCTCACTCACCCCACTAACAATGTGCTGGGAACGTTGATATGAATCTGCCATATTATTCTGCAATCCTGTTTCCATAAGTCCTATCGAAGTCTCCCTCTTTTCACATAGGATCTTTCACTTATCTCCTTTTTTCAGGCATTCCACATGATCCCTGCCCACATTATCTGTGCTACTCGAGGCGTTATTCCCCACACTCTGCCTCAAGCCTTTGATTGAACGTATAATTCCGCCTTGCTGAGTACGTCGACAAATTGGTAGAATAACTTGAGGCTATATATTACGAGTAATTCTCATCGTCAAGCCGTTGCTTTATGGATCACGTCTATGATCAAACACGTCTACTAGCTCTGCTCTCCGCCGCATTCATCAGAAAAATCAACTTCCAGTGCTTCATTACCTTAAACGAAATAAGATGAACACAACTTATATTCTGATTTACTGGTAATCTCAAAAACCTACTCATTTATGAAAAAAGTAATGTCGTCGATTGATATAGCAAATATAAACTTGCTTCATCGATAATCCCAACACAGGTTGTGATATTGAAAATGCCTGAGCTTCTTTGAAATTCACATCTGCCTTGTGATCCAATACACTCGTTGCAATGTGGCGTAGTGGTTAATGTGTAGAGCTTACACACTACGCTGTCATGGTTGGACTCCGGATTGGGATGTTTATAAGACCTATGCGAGGTCGAAACTGCAGTTCAGCCTGGATAAGAGCACCTTTTGGGAAAGCAAGGCTATTTGAAATTCAATCGAAAACATCAGCTCTACCCATATCATTGTGGGAAAATCTTCTACCAGTCCTTCATCACTTTAAACGAACTAGGCTGAAGACAACTCATAGTTCTATCAATAAGGCCAAGTCTACGGCTTTCTATGCCCTAGTCTCTAATGTGACAACCCACAAGTGATGATGTGGTCTACTTGTTTTGATTAGGCTAACTATCGGCGTCTCCTCTTGGTTTCCGATTGTTCCTTTCTGGTCTCCTTACGATTTCTTATCCTAAAATTAAAGATGCTACCTTGAAGCCGTCATATTCTTTTTGCTAATCTTACTGTTGCCTGATCTTCTCCGAATTTGCTTAGGCAATATGCACAGTTTTCGCTAATCCTGCCTTCTTCAAA